TGGGAGAACCTTGGTGTAAAACTGACATCCAAAAAGTGACGTGCTCCTTTACTTGTTTGGGTGGTCCATTGGGTACACTAGTTTGTTGCTAGCATTCTCTTATCCTTGGGAACTTCTGAACAGCAGCATTCATAAAGCATTTATTGTGGTCAGGGACCTCAGTGTCCCGGAGGTGGATTCTGCTCGCTACCATTGGCTTTCTGTGCTACAGCCTGCTCTGTTGGCTAATTCTGCTTCAGTGAAATTTTCATGGACCACTTAAGGACTGGCTCTCGGGGTTTTGTTAATGCATTCGTCGGAAATTATATGTTATGGCTTGGCAATGGGTCAGCCTCTGTGGATTCGTTTTCGCAAAATATTATTTTCTCGGTTGCTGAGTCAAACTTATTTGTTGTTTTTTTTTCTGAGTGATTCTAACTTTCTCACCATGAAGAAACGAAACTGTATTACCTCGTTCTCCTGAATATAACATTTTAATTGTTCCAATACATGTTTAAAAAATTATATCCGTTCCTCGATGCCTATACCTTAGAATGTTAATCAAATTGAAGAGCGCACCCAAGTTTGTCCGATTTGGTAAATATTGCAGAACAGGAATACTGTCTTTCATTGGTGCTTAGAGTTACGAGTATTCCGCTTTTGGCCGTTAGATCTATCTGAAAACTATCCTGAGATGTCCTAAATTACATGGATGCATGCCACAGCCCCAGTATGCCTGAGGGGTCCCGGGATGTGCTCGAACCGTGAATGCAGGTCCCCTGCGCGTCTGCCGGTCGTGGGACTGACGGCTGCCCCTCCCCGGCGTGCGTTGACCGGCAGATGACTGCCCCTGACGCCGCCGGCGCCACCAGCCCTCCACCAGCAGCCAGCCACATGTGGTAGGGACCCCCCCCCCCCCCCTGCTGCCGCTGCATGACACCCCCACCTCCCACCGTGCTGTTTCTACTCTTTCTCGTCCTCTTTGTCTCTGCCGCCGGCTCGGCCAAGCTGCACTGCCACAGGCTGCTATCGTGTGCTGGCTGGCACTGTGCGGAGCTTGCAGAACATGAACGGCACGTTCAATCGGTTTCATGTTTTGGATTTTTGATACACCTGTTCATTTAGCAGCGAGCACTAGGATCGTGAGTTAGCGGACGAACACGTGATTATTACCGGCCATGTTTGAGGCTCTCGCACATTGTTACCATAGTCTCACATAGTCCCACTCTGTCCACTCTTGCCAAGCACTCACAATGGGTGAATATTTGCCTTCCTTCTAAGCACTAAATCGCGTGTAATTTCTGGGCTGGAGCATTCTGAATTCGTCTTAGTTGTGTGGTGGAGGACCCACGGGTTTCAACAGGGATTGGTGTTGCGACTCGAATTATTGTGGAGAGAAATAACAAACGCTTAGCCTTACATAATTCTTGTCATGTTTTGTTGTCATTATATTTACACAGAACTCGCTCGTCACCTGTTGTAATCAAACTGACATGCCAATTTTAAATTTTAGATTAGCACTGGTTTTCCCTTCGAAGTTAGAGTTTTTTCCTTACCCCAGTGGCTAGTCATATGAACTTCTCGCGCTTTTAGCCTTTGTGCAATCGCTTGTGACATTCTCTGTCTCATGTGTGTATGTGGTTTTTAGTGGCGTGCTGGTGGTTTTTCCCTTTGTGTGGTTTTTATACCGCTGTGCGTGGTTTTCACTCACTGAGTGTTCCCGCTCTCTGAGGTGGGTGGATTCGCCATGCATTGTGTCTGTAGTTTGACTGCATGCGGCACGATGCACGTAGCGAGTTGGTCTGTATATGCTGCTGTCCGTGGTCCGATTCAATTAGTCCTGTTCAGTCCGAGCGTCCCTCGCCTCTGTCAACCGCCGGTAGCTTCAGTAGCCGTCCTGCATTGCTCTGTGGGCCTGTCCTGTCCTGTACTTTCCTGTGCGAATGGGCGCATAATGTCCCCGCCGTCGACGCCCCACAAACCCCTAACAAACATCAGATTAACTGTTACGTCCCATGTCCTTACCTGTTCCGGTACATTCCGTCCTGTATCGCGCCTCCCCTTTTCTGTCCGTCTCATTCCGTCCATCGGAGCCCGTCTCAGCCCATCTCGTAACTGTCCCAGCCTCCACCAATCCCTACCAGTCTCGTAGCGGAACAAACTAAACTACCTCTTATCTCCCAGTCTGGTCCTCTCCCTCCCATTGGCACCTCCGTCCTGCCCCCTCCCATCGCTCCCCGTGTCCTCTGCTGCTGCCGCTGCCTGCGCTCTCGCTTGTGCCTGTGGTGACCGGGCGTCCGCCTCTATCTCACAGATAGGCGGCGGCGCGCCCGACGACGGTGACCTGGGCACGGGCTCTGCCAGCGGGTACCAGCAGGCGCCACCCGCCGCCGCCGCCGCCCGGCCCACGCGGGTGACGCTGCGCGGCCACGGCCACGGCGAGAACTTGTAGTTACGGCCGCCGCCGCCGCGCGGCGCTGGCGGCGTCCGGGTGCTGTCCGCTTGCTTCGTCCGCTCGACGGCTGCGGGGATTTATCGAAGATGAGGCGAATGTCAGTGGTGTCGGCCGCGTATGGTCCGTGTTTGTGTGCGGGTGTGGAGCCTGTCTGTCGTACAGTCTCTGCTGGATCTCTGTACCAGTCGGCACGGAACGAACCCTGTTTCCGAGACTTGTCGGTCGCTCTGACAGCCCGGCGGCATGACTCGGTGGACAATACCGTGATCCGTGACATTGCGCCCTTACCGCCCATGATCGAACCCTGGGACCGGCGACTGGCCAAGTCGCTGACTCGGTGATAGGAGAACGCACATTCCGGCCCGAGTGCACGTGATGAGCCCCTCTGAATGTGATTGTGCGTGCCGGAGACGCCCAGAACGTAGGCGGCGCGAGAGACATGGCCATAGGACCAGTGACTGCATTATAGAGGACTGAGAACCGGTGACTGAAGCAGAGAGGACTGAGACAATCGAGTGACCGGCGTAGAACGGGTTCTGACGGACGGCTTATTGAGAACGGTCTGTGCGAGAGGACTGGATAGCTTTGTTAGGTCAAGGAGATCATGATATGACTGCCAACCGGCTGCGATGACTGGAGACGACTGATGACTGAAGACTGATTAGGGTACCGACGTTTGGAGACTGCATAGTGAGGAATAGGATTAAGAACTGACTGACAGTTACGACAAACGGGAAGCTACACGCAGCTATCTTCAGCCCTGGACCAGGGACCTAACTGAACTGCACTGACTGAACTCAGCTCGGCTCAGGACTGAACCGACGACTGAGGACTGGAGACTGTCTCGCTCGGCCGCGCTCTCAGACGCCCGGCCCGCTGTTTTCAGAATGACGCCCGGCAGCCGGTGAAGGTGGCCAGTTACGGTTCAATAGCGCCCTGAGACGCGCCGTGGCCGACCGAGGGTGCTGCCGACGTCAGTTGTGATCTGGTCTGCCGCTGCCGCCATTAGGTGGTGCGCGCTGAGTGAACTAACCGGGCCAGTGGCCTGGGCGGTGTGGCGACCCCACCCAGTACCAGTGGAGCCCCGTGAGGGCCTATCTCAGTCAGGTATATATCACTGTACCACTTGTTGCTTGTATGCCGAATGTTTACTTTGCTTCTGGTGTGTATCGTTGTTTTACTCCCCGCTGCGGTCGCAGAGGTGGCGGAGTGCCGCCGAGGCTGCCTCGGCCGGCCCGACGCAGTGCGCGGGACCCCCGCTGTGCCAGTCGTTTGACGTGATGACCCGTGTGGGAAATGAGAGCCGGCGCGCCGCGGGCTGTTCCCGCGAGCCGCCCCGTGTGCTCGGCTATCTTATAGTGTATGTACTCTTGGTGCTTATTAAATGGAATGTGGCCACTGCGAGTTGCGCGTTTGGTGGATATGTGGGTAGACGGACTAGTCCGTTCGTGGTGTTTCGGTGATCGGACCCAGCTGGGGATGGGGGCAACTGGGACACTCGACGTTAGGCGCTAGTGCTGCTAAATAGCAGGCCTTTTCGAGAGGAACTTTGATGACAGGACAAGGGGGCATCAGCTAAAGCTCGCAAAAAGAAGATGCAGCAGTCAAGCACGGGCCAAATTCTTTACAAACAGAGTGGTTACTGCCTGGAACAGTTTACCAGAGGAAGTTGTGGCTACAGCCTGCAACATCTATGTACAAACCACTTCAAAAATCTGCTGGACCGACATCGGGTTGCTGCACCCTAACCTGTCATCTTGTCCCAAACCAGTATGATGTGGGTACTGAATAGACTGTCTAAACCGAACCCACTATATAAACCTAAACCTAAACCACCCAACCACACACAAAGAGAGCAGTAAACGTTTGCACCCAGAAGCTCTAAAAAAAAAAAACTCGCTGGTAGACACACAGCTGTATTTCACAGATGAACGACACAGCTTCTGGTGAATAACCACTGTTTGGACGGAATCGTTAGCGGTGGGTGCACAATAAAACACTGATAATCTACGATGTGCTGTTCACAATCAGTGATGACACATTGTCATTTGTTCATCAAGATAAAGTCTGTGCGAAATGGACGGAATGCGTTGTCTGTACGCACAGTTGAATCACACCCACGGGTGCAACATAAACAACATTGACTCATCTACGAGTACATCTAAATACCTTTAGACCAGAAACCGGCGACCAGCGCTTCCTGAGCAGGTGGTACGTTCGTTCAGAATGCCCCACGCTTGTGCGTATAGCGTCGCCATCCGACCCCGACTAGAACACTACATAGATGTGCGCGGCGCAAAGCTCTTGTGATAATACTACGATCATGGCTGCAACATTAATATAGGTACAGGTCTCGCGGGTTTTAGCGGTAGGTTTTGCACCTAGAAAATTTAGTGTACTTCAGGCTATATCTTCGTCGTCTTAAGCTTTTAAGTGTTGAAGATGCGATCGACTTGTTGGGTAACAAGCCGGCCATGATCCGTGTAAAATGGCTTCATCGTAGATCGATTAGTTTCTGAGATATAACCGGAAATGTAAAAGTGCAAAACCTACCGCTTAATCTCGCGAGACCTGTACGTAGCAGCGTGCAACGACTGAGATCAAAGACTAGATGGGCAGGGCTAGGAGAGTACGAAGAAACACAGGTGCTCACACTGACTGAGATTGCGACACCGAGCTTCACACAATCGACTGTTCGTCAGCTGCCCCTGAACTTGATTTGAAAACGTCCACCTTGTAGTTTCTCCTACTACAGACAACGATTCGTCATGAGTTTGATCCGTTTCAATCATTGCCGATACAGCTGTTGTTTTAGTGAGCAACGTTCGTAGGAAGATTTTCGTGACTGAGCAGCGCCCGGAGGCACCGTTCACTATTTGATATTCCTAGGCGACCTTGACGGTGCCGACGCAAGAAACGGGCGTGACGTCGGTGTGATAAAACTGATACACCTACGCAAGAAAAAGTATGACCATAGGCTTACGTCACTAGTTGACATAGTGCTCTCCTTGGATGAGACCAACAACGTTCCCTTCGATCGACATAAGAAGACGTTGAATGGAACCCAACAACAAAACACAAACACCTGCATAACAACCGAACACTAGATCACAACATAAATCGTCTGTCAACGTATACAAGATAAATTATTGCAATTGACTAGAAGTTCATGATATGCGACGAACCATATTACGACTCAACGGTAACTAAAATGTACCGAAATAAGCAAACCACCTTTCCACTATAAATAAGTCTGGTGTTTTGTGCAGCTCCCCCCCCCCCCCCCTTGCGACCGACCACCGCCATCTAGACTGTCGCCATGCCCCAGGGCCCAGACCCGCGTCCTTATGCACCTACAGGGTCTCCTTGTGCTCGGGGATGAGCTGCTCCTGAACATACAGCGAGTAGACCAGACCCTGACGCTTATCCCCGCTCGTGACGGCGCGGATGTAGGCCGGCTTCTTGCCCACCTCGAAATGAGTTTCGGTGCCGTCTTCGACAAACTCTCCCTGAAGGGGGGGGGGGGGGTGCAGGAGATGCGTCAGTGGGCGTCGGTTAGGGTGCATAGTTGTATACCAGGACCAGGTGGTGAAGACTCGACATAGCCCCACACTAAAGCGATAAACATTTCCCAGTCTGGGATACGACCTATGGGAATCATGAAAGACATAACTAACTGTTGGCAATTTAGTTTGCACAGTTTCAAAGACATTCCCACGCAATTAATAATCATTCAAAAGCAACAAATAATATGTGATACGTACAAGGGTTGCATTTGGATCAAAAGTGTCTCATCTATACCGACTGATTGCGTCAGCGTCAAATCAATAGCAACAATTTAGTTGAAATGTGACATAAGCCATTTAAACGATACCAAGTGAGGAGTGATGCACGATTACGAAACGTAATTGTGATCAACTCACCGCTGTCTCCAGTTTTCTGCCGTTCACCCACACATCCAGAGTCCCCTTTTCTGAAACAGAGAGGGGAATCGATCCACCTCAGACATACGCATTGGCAAACGTCGATAAATCACAAACGAGCTCATTACCAAACATCGATGATAACCAGTGAACACCGTGTAACCACGACATGTAACCAGAAACTACCCATGCTCCGGGTTCATTAACACCTCGTTACTGTCGCGTGCCAACTGCCAGGGCAGCCGTGCGCATCAGTGAGCGCTAACACCTCTCGACGGCGGTCGATCAGTCGACCCCAGACCGTACATTCTACTCAATAAGTCACCGGCGCCGCTGCAGCAGCAGCGACACGGACAAAGGGATCGTTTACCGTTCAGCTCATTGACGTGGCCTCGAATTCCGAGAGCAGGATCAATGAGAGCGCGGCCTCAGCTGCACTGCGCCCAAACATGTGGCCGGGCGGATCGTGAGCGTCGCCCAGGTATGCGGACAGCAACCGGAAGCAATTCGGCTCGTTAATATCCGTTTCCGATAATGTCATGCCATAATATGCCCGAGTACCAGCAATATTGATAGAACCTTGCACGGAAATCATTTTCCCCAATAGCCCGAAATTCGCAACCCATAATAATAGCAAGCAATTGGCAAGTCAGCCCTAAACGTATCGGCAAAAAGGTCAGTCTCTAAATGATCATCACCCAGCCTCCACACCCGTCCCCACCGAGCAAGGCAGAGGAGGGTACGGCGGCAAGGGAATGGGCACAGGGGCGTAGGCAGGGGGGGGGGCCACTGGGCCATGGCCCCCCCCCCCTTGGGCGCCGAAGGCGCCCTTTGCGATTGGAGGGCGCCGAAGGCGCCCTCCAATCGCAAATGCAATTGTGATATAATCGAATCGAAAAACAATCGCGACTGGAGGGCGCCCTCCAATCGCGAATGTGTTTACAGGGAAAATACGGATGGAGGGCGCCCTCGGAGGACGCCCATTCCAAATACGCCCTCCAAATACGGTTGGAGGGCTCCCTCGGGCGCCCTCCAACCACATTTGTAGGCTGTAGCTCTCTAAGCGAAACGGTGGTCGCCAATGTAAGCCGCTGTCCTGTAAATAAGCGCCCTCTCACCCGAAGGCGCCCTCCTGTAGGTCGCCACCCTGCTACACATTGCCGCCCTTCTGCTGATCGGCGTCCTCATAATTATTGGCGCTCTCCTACCTATTGAGCCCTCATGTGAAATTTTGAAGGCCGCCTTTCTCCCTTTTGGCACCCTCTTGTTCAGTGCCGCCCTCCTACCCATTGGTTCCCTAGTCCTTCCTGTTGAATGTTAATCGGGACCCTTCTCCTATTGGCGCCCTCGTGTAGATCGCCGCCCTCCTAACCACTGGCACCCTCCTGTTGATCACCGCCCTCCTATCCACTGGCACCTTCCTGTTGACCAGCGCCCTCCGCACAGACGCCCTCCTGTTCGTGTCATCCTCTTGAGCAAAGGCGCCCTCCTCACCATTGCCACCCCCATTTTAATCGTCACCCTTCCGCTCATTGGCGACTTCCAGTTGATGACCGCCCTCCCACCTATTGGCGACCTCTTGTTGATCGCCACCCTCCTATTGGTGCTCTCCTGTTCCTCGCCACCCTCTTACCTGGTGGCGCCCTCCTGTTGATTGTTGATCGGCGCCCTCCTACCTATTGGTGCCCTCCTGTTGATCGCTGCCCTTCTATCCATTGGCGCCCTCCTGCTGCTCGCCAACTTCCTACCTATCGGTGCCCTACTGTCGAAACTCGGGATGTTGATCGGGGCTCTTCTACCTATTAGTGCCCTCCTGTGGATCGCAGCCCTTCTACCTATTGGCAACATCCGTTGATCGCTGCCCTCCTATCATTTATTTACTCCGTTGGCATGTTTTTCAACTTAGTCGTTCTATTGCACATAGTTGATGTCTTGCCTGTGAAAACTGCCACAAATGAACGTGCATTCAGCACAATGAATGAAGTATCTATACCTACCAAAACTATCTACGCTCTACGATGCATAAAACACGTCTTTGGTCTTAACGGATTGATCCTACTTTACGTGCATCATGGCATCTATATGGATTACGATTAAGTATTGTCAACAGGTTCGGGCGCAACAGCAGGCATCTGAAGTTTCGGTGATTGAAACTGGTTATGTGGGTACACTGTATGCATCTGTGAGAAGGCTATGAAGGCTGGTCTGAGGTAATTTGGATGATGTTTACGCATCTCGCGCTCCGGTATCAATCCGATACGGTGATCTGGTGCGTAGATATGCCACCGCCAATAAACTTTTATACATCGACACCCATGAGCCAAGCTTTCCGTACAGTTTGTGTGGCAGCGGCCCGACCAAACCTTAGGTATTTTTACACCTTCAAATTTGGTAAAAGAGCGAGAGGAGCTTTGAACAGTGATCGTATAAAAGGCGTGCCTAAAAAGCGGAGGAAAAGGTTGTTTTCAAAAATTTCGCGCGCCTTCGGCGCAGCATTTCAAGAACACTTGACCTTTTGTGACCTGGAGTATAATGAATACACACGATGCAAAATCAATGCAGCACGACCTATACGAGGTTACGCAAAAAAAAAAAACTGGTGGCATGGTAAAAAACGCCTCCCAACCCCCCAACCCCCACTGAGCGATTTTTTATCTCGCGACCGTATGGCGCCCTCCTTGGGTGAGGTGGCGCCCTCCAAACCCTTGGCCCCCCCCTTCGCGATTTTCTAAATACGCCGCTGAATGGGCACACACAGAGGGGGAGCGGTACCGCAGAGGGGAGGGACACTCACCAAGAACGACGCGGTAGGTGCCCTCGCGGGCGGTGACCAGCCAGGTGCGCATCACCTTGGACTGGTGCTCGGTGAAGCTGCGGAACGCCTTCCCATCCACGTCCAGGGAGTACTGATAGGCGAACGCGCCGCACGGCTCGATTTTGACCGTGCAGCGCACGCGCGGCCTGCCCACCTCGAACGTCTCACTGCCCACTAGGCGGAACATCCAGTCGCGGCGAACAATCTCCTGTCGGTCGGCCCGGGGGGAGGGGGAGGGGTCAGCTGTGGCGCCGGCCGGCTGGTCGACGCCCCGCTGGAATGCGAGTGGCACGTAAAGTGCGGCTCATGCAGACACAACAGGATCGATCAAACCCGGCGCCAGCAGAGTTGCTGCTTTCCCTCACAGCAAACAGCCAGCGGTTCCAGCCGTGACGATCGGATTGACCATTTGCCCAAACCTTTTAAAAGGTTGATCTACATTGTGTACGTCAAATGTATGCATGCAGTATCATAGTTTAACGGGTCACAATATGGTTGTATTTTACGAATTTGTGAGACGTGAGTGAGCAGTTTTGTAATTAAAGCAAGGCATATTTTTTCACTCGGGTCGACAAGCATCGGACGACAGTTTTGAAGCTGAACGAAGTAGCGGAGTTCCATGACGTATCGAGCTTTATCAATAGTGTGATAGATAACTATTTTATTAGGTATTACACGTTATTTACCAGTATAACGCCTTTTGGGGCGACTAACGGAGCGAGCGAGAGGGTGGGCCTTGCACGTGCGAAATTGCGAGGGGTACCTCCAACTGACTTGTGCATTGCATCCTACTAACCGGTCTCTAGCGATGTGCCAAATTTGGGCACAATCGGCCCAGCCGTTCTCGAGATCTGGGAGCGGCACCCTGCACGTGCGCACGTGCAAAATGGGTCCCAACTGACTTGTGCACGGCACCCTACTAACCGGTCCCTAACTGTGTACCAAATTTGAGGGTAATTGGTCGAGCCGTTCTCGAGATCTGGAAACGACCCCTGCACGTGCGCACGTGCAGCAGCGCCCCAGCTCTGGCACATGGATATGCAGTGCCTAGTGGGTGCCTACCTACATGCCAACTTTCAGCGCAATCGGCCAAGTAGTTACAGAGATATTACAACAATTACAAAACGGACACCTCTTCGTTTTGCACGTGGCACGTGCATAAGGGGTCACCCACATGCATCAGGAATAGTCCAATACTTGGTAGAAGGAATGAAGCTACCCTACCAAAATTACCGCGTGTTAATCGGTCAAGTGGTTGCTGAGATATAAGCCTCGCAAAAGCGTGACCACGGCCGGCCGGCCGGCCGCTCATACTCAGAAATTTCCGTTAATCTAAGGAAAGACTACGCTCGCTTCGCTCGCTCCGTAATCAAACCAGTATAACGCCTTTTGTGGCGACTAACGGAGCGAGCGAGAGGGTGGGCCTTGCACGTGCGAAATTGCGAGGGGGTACCTCCAACTGACTTGTGCACGGCACCTTACTAACCGGTCTCTCTAGCGATGTGCCAAATTTGAGCACAATCGGCCCAGCCGTTCTCGAGATCTGGAAGCGGCACCCTGCACGTGCGCACGTGCAAAATGGGTCCCAACTGACTTGTGCACGGCACCCTACTAACTGCTCCGTAACCGTGTACCAAATTTGAGCGCAATCGGTCCAGCCGTTCTCGAGATCTGGAAACGACCCCTGCACGTGCGCACGTGCAGCAGCACCCCAACTCTGGCACATGGATATGCATTGCCTAGTGGGTGCCTACCTACATGCCAACTCTCAGCGCAATCGGCCCAGTAGTTACCGAGATATTGCAACAATTACAAAAGTGACACCTCTTCGTTTTGCACGTGGCACGTGCATAAGGGGTCACCCACATGCATCGGGAACAGTGCAATACTTGGTAGAAGGAATGAAGCTACCCTACAAAAATTACCGCATGTAAATCGGTCAAGTGGTTGCTGAGATATAAGCCTCGCAAAAGCGTGACCACGGCCGGCCGGCCGGCCGGCCGCTCATACTCAGAAATTTCCGTTAATCTAAGGAAAGACTACGCTCGCTTCGCTCGCTCCGTAACTATGATTTATCCTTGACCGGTATACGTACTAGCTATAGAAGGATGTCTAGTTAGGTTAGGGGATAGGGCTTTTGTGTGGTTGGGACTTGTTGGGCCATTCGCTAACGAGGAGTTCACTCGTGGCATTGTCACCGTCAAAACTCGGAGCAGTTCAGCTTGTCGAGAGAAGCATGCAAGTCGAGGAGTAATGCGTGGAATGGCTATCAAAATCCATTCAGGACTTTTATACCACACAAGAGTGACCACTGAATAGGCCACACGGGGGACTACTCATTATTCAAGTCCTCGCTGTGGCCTGGTGGATAGGACGGCTGCCTCGTAACTCGATGGCAACGAGAAACGGTGGCACAGTTCGCGGCCGAAGAGCTCCACATCCTTCGACTAACGTTCAGCGCGCTGGCCACTGGCAAGAGACTAGGGCTACGCTAGAGCTAGGAGGGGCTACGCTAGAGTCAGAAGAGCCGTGTCGCCATCTATCTGCGACACTCTAAACGTTCGATTAAAAATATCACCGGCGACTCGGGCGCTGGCAAGGTCGGTTGTTCGTGGCGTCATTGTACCTAACAGACTACAAGCACCGCCCATCGTTGCACCTGCCCCGCTCATCAATTTGGACTTCTTCACCTATCCGTGCTTCTATCCTCAGGATGCAGAAATCCTTCTCCTCCACGCCGCAACCCCTCCGGGCTGGACAGGCAACTTTATCTCATGCGGGCTGCTCCCTTGGAGCGGCACCGCTGCTCCCGAGGGAGCGCACCCCGTAGCCGGGTGCAGTGAGTGCCTTGGGGCTGGGTGGCCTGTCCTCTGGACGGGCTCAGCCCCGGCGACTCACTAGGGTGCCTGCCCAGACCAATGTCTCCCCCTAATTCCTATCATCCTTCCGGCTCTGCAATGGTCTTGTCGACCGAAAGGGCCTAACCCAACAAAACAAACAAACAAACAAATTGGACTTCTTCAGTCTGTTAACATCAATGCAATGCAAATAATTGATAGGAAGCCAAAAAAAGATAAATGCCCAAGCATCTTAAAGGAAACAGTTCACTTTCCTGAAATTAGTATTTTGCTATTGATTTATGATTTTTTATGCTCAAAATGATCATGAAATAAAATAAAACCTTTTTGTAAAAACAATTTTTTTCTATATTTTAATATGGGACGAACTATATTCTACGTAAAATAATGTTTGACGCGGAAGCTTATTACGCGTTGACCAATCATATAGCGTAGTTCAAACCTACGCATACTGCATTGGCTGTAAGCAGCATGCTGACGATGACGTGGCTGCATTCCTGTGCAAGGCACACATTCCTCTGCAAGGCACTCTTTCGGAACGAGAAATGGAATATCTTCGTCTAGGGTGATCATTGAGCCGTAAAAGCTCCTGATTTGTGCTAGTCTCAGCTCAAGCTACGAAACTGCTATTCCAGTTCAAAACCCCATGTTAAAAGTGAACTATTTCCTTTAAGTAACTTAGTATCTGTACTGCACATCTAAAAAAGCATCAGTTTTTATAAATGTAGCTCGGATGTTGATGAGGAATTGATGGATTGACGGAGCCGGAGCCCACGCTAAGCAGAGCTTGTTGTGTAGACTGCGACCCCTACCGTCCGATCGCGCAATTCCGGGTAACAACGAGAGCATTTCGATGCCAAAGTTTAACGCGCCCATCAAAGCCAGACACGGCCTGTCCCACTCTACCTACTGACTTCAACTGGCTGTGGCTGCTCCCACCAACTGCAGACCATCCCCGTCGGGAGCCTGAAATATCGAGCGCTGGAAAAACTTGAGCCCGAGCTTTCACAACCACGAGTCTGGTGCTCAACCTGAGCTATGGGACAGGCTTCAAGATATTCAAGGGTCTTGTCCTTCAAGTAACAAAAGATTCTATTTTATTCAATAGGTACTAAAACAGTGACTTAGTTTTTCCTAAGTGCTTGCTTGTTACTTCACTGCCATTGCATCTTTTTCGAGATAACATAATAAACATATTTGTACAAAAGTTGTCAGCAATGCTTCTAGTGGGTAGTTTGCAGCCATTATTCTTACTATTTCTGAAATCCTCATAAATAGTATCCTCCTTTCTACCCAATCTAAATCTTTTACATACCTACATTCATCACTGAGAGCTATTCTCTCTGTTCTTCATTTTCAGTTGATGTTTGTACAAATAGGTACCAATTCGTATTATTTCTATGCATAAGGCACCTATTTTTATATCAATTACCTGCCCATCAACTTTGATGATCCTTCTTCCCGAGATGGTGCCATGTTCTACCTCCACCTGGTGGATGCCATCACTGCATGGCACGTCCCATACAGCCACCAGGTCCACGGCCATTATCTCAATCTGTGAATGACTGAGTCAGAGTCAGAGTGTGGACACCTTTAGGAAACAATTCAAACAGAAAATTTCCAAATTTCTTAACACGAATTTGGCCTATATTCAAGCACAAATGTATGCAATAATTTCTTTTAAAATAACCAAAACCAGAACAAATACCTAGGTACATTATCTAAACCTGTCCTCAGATACCTTCTGATAGATACCCACTGCACAGTGTGGCCAAACGCCAGATTAGCGCGAATTTAATCAAAAAACGAATTTTGGAATTTTGACTTTTTATAGCTATCAGTCGATAGGAAATTGTCCAAAGTATGTCAATATCACAATACTTTGGTTCAATGTCTTCCTTTCGGTGTCCAAAAAGCTAGCTAAAGTGGACATACGCAATGCCGGTCCCGGCTGTGCTGAAATCGTCGAAAACTCGAGTCATGTTTACAACACATTTTGGCGTAATTGTCGGAAAGGTTTGGAAATAATTGGAGTGGCATATGACTACTGAGCCTATATTTGATAGAATACCCGAATTCTATAGGTATCCTTGGACTAACCGATGAGTTATGCTCATTTGAAAATGACCTTTTCAAACATCCCCTGAAAACACTGTCCATCTTAAAAACGTAGAGATATAAGAAAATGGCCAAAAAACTCCACGCCAAATCTACCATGAGAAGATTTGCCACACTTTTCTGGACATGATCCATTCAAGAAACCCTGCCCCAACCTGCCCCCCGGCCTTTGGCTCAGCTTTGAAAGTATCGGGTTGGCCCGCCCGGGGAGGTCCGGCTACAGGGTGGGCGCGGCGGCGGCTCCGTAACGTTACGCGGATGGCTCAAACCGCTGTATTTCTGACTTGTTATATTGCAGAATACGGTCGCCAATGAATAAATCTTGACAATTTTTCAACCCTCGCCCATATAGGGGGTGAGGGTGAGGGTCGAAAGGACCCCTCTCGGTTTTTCGCAAAAAGCTCAAGTAAAAAGCGGCCGATCGCGACGAAACTTTCAGTACCCTCGAGCTTATCAATTTTACAACTACCCATTAAATTTCACGACCCTGACCCCAATGACCTTTGACCTGTGACCTATTTCTCGAGACCATGTTTGGCCGGAAGCGCGATTGGGCGTATGTTTGCTTGCATTAGCCGCGCGTTTGCAGTTTTTTCGTGGTTTCAAGCGTCTAAACATGTGATATTATGATGTTGGTCGGTGGTCCCATGCATTATGGTCGGTGTCAAGATCACTTGAAGGTCAGGTCAGTTCAATAACCTTTAATGACCTCGGTTCACCTTTTTTAGTTTTACATGCTTCCAGGCTAGTTTTTGGAGCTGATTTCGAATTTAGTAACCATTTGAACATTTAGGAAGAAGTTTTGGTGCCTTCGTAACATGCAACGAAGCTGTCACTGGCGGTTGACACCTATTTATGAATACCCGGCAGGACTGGTTGGCTTGGCCTGACCTGACCCGACCTACGTTCGCGGCTAGCAAAACACCAATACGGGCGAGGGTTAATGACATGAAGGTGCTTATGGTGTAAGTCTTTGTTTTTACTCCCATTGCTGAGGTTCAGTCCTATCGGTACGTGTATTTCAGCAACCATCTACCGATTCATGTGCTTCACCAGGAACATTCACACAGAAACATAATTAGATGTTGATTTTTTTTCAAGCAAACTTTGGACAATCATAAGAATTTACCAGAGAAATGATGGGAATTTCGTAAACGATTCCTCCTCCTAACATGCCCATCATTGCTGGGACCCACAATTGTATGCCTCTTACTCGTATTTGCGGTTAAATTCCAGGATTTCGTAATCAGAGTCGGAGTCGTTCGGAGTCAACAGTTTTGAACCTGCAGTCAGAGTCGGAATCGGAATCGATTTTGGAATCCGGACCAAGACTCGTAGTCTGAGTCACCGAAAATCCATCGACTGCGTGGACTTGCCATGGCTGCGGAGTCAGAGTCCGAGTCGATCGTATAAGTCGACAGTTTTGCCCGGAGTCAGAGTTGAAATTGACTTTTGAATGCCGTAGTCAGAGTCGGAGTAACTCTATCGACTTCACAGCCCTGGCCTGGTAAGCACATCACCCGTCGTAAGCTAGTTCTCCCTACTTTTAGAGGCGGAACTATGCCATTACATGTCAGAAAGCATTCATAATGTATCGTAAAAGGTCTCACATAGGTTTAAGTGTCAATTTTGAAACCAGGGAACCATTTTCAACGGATCCGAGCAGCGCTGGGATTTAATTCGCGCTAAACTGGTGTTTGGCCACACTGTGCACTGGTCCACGTTTTCCATCACCAACCCAAACCTAAAAACATAGTACTTCAACATAACTTCCAACCAGAATGCTGACGCATATTACCGATCGGTGTCAAGACGTCTCGCAATGGACTTCCTTGCAATTCCACCAAGGCAGGTTTCCACCTTGGTTTCCACCAAGTTCAAGTTGTTTGCAACTTGCAATCCCCAAGCCCCCAAGCAATCGTCATAGCGCAATAGTTGTAGCTTGTGCGCCATATGAATTTTTGTGAAATTCCTGTTCGACAGCAGGAACATGCAAGAAGAAACTTTTGCAAAAACTCTCGTTGCCTGGCAACGAGTGTGAGTATAGCATGGTTGCTTGGCAAATTGCTACAACAGCCTTGTACACATTTTCAGCAGAACATGGAAGAACAGAGGGGTCCATAATACACGTCAATTGGGTGTTTTCCTATGCAATACACGTATGAAGGTACGCTACTGCGCATTTAAGGTGGTTCCTGGGCACTGAGAAGCGTAAGTCGAAAATGCATTTGCAGACGTGGGTCATCATCCTTAAAGGGGTGCTCAGGGACATAACCTTTGTCATTTTTCATGTTTTGCTCGTTGAAAAACATGTTCCAAAAAAGGCCAAGCCTGGACCTGGCCCCTGAGTGGAACAGGAATTTTAAGGTCACTTTTGGATGGATCCTAGTCCCAATTTGAATTGAACTGAGCTTGAGGCTTATATGCCTGACATGCATGGAAGAGGTCAGGGGCTACATGAGGGAGAGTAGTTTTCTTTTTGTGGCCCTTTCTCATTCTGCAAAGACCCCCTTGAAGCCGCGATCGAGATGTTGTGTTTGTTAGGTACCTATTCATCTTTTAAAGCATAGGATCTAAATGTTTGGAATTTGAATGATAAAGTGTGTTTTGAAGATTGTACCTATTGTAGGTGTACCTACCTAATGATGATCTGTGAACTCTTGATAATTTAGGTATTTTTTAACAAAAGTCAATGTAGGTGTGATTGTCAATGTGTTTCATGTAGATCGCCCTTTTTACAGATAGAGTACCACTTACTTCTATATACCAGATATCAAAATGGAAGAGGATCCCATCTTGGCCACCTTGAAGATTCTCATTATGATGATCCTAATGATGATCTGTGAACTCTTGATAATTTAGGTATTTTTTAACAAAAGTCAATGTAGGTGTGATTGTCAATGTGTTTCATGTAGATCGCCCTTTTTACAGATAGAGTACCACTTACTTCTTTATACCAGATATCAAAATGGAAGAGGATCCCATCTTGGCCACCTTGAAGATTCTCATTATTGGTGAAAGTGGTGCTGGAAAATCCAGGTAGGCCCATACTCTGCACCTTGTTTTGTCGGTATTAGTAAGTCTGGCGTCCCACGAAGATGCCAGATGGCCACGGTTCAGAAATTCCCTAGATATCTAGAGATATTCTTCGGAACGCTGTGTACGCTAAAGTTACCGACCGATTTCCAAAGTAAAGGTCTCAAACGATTCCTCGATTCACGGACTACCTTCACCGAGGTTCGTGACCTCAAAGGTCATGACCTTCGAGGTCAACATCAAGGTCAAACGACGGAAACCGCTCTGCACGCCAAAGTTAGCGACCGATTTCCGAAGTAAAGGTCTCAAACAAAGGTCATGACCTTCGAGGTCAACATCAAGGTCAAACAGCGGAAACCGCTCTGCACGCCAAAGTTAGCGACCGATTTCCGAAGTAAAGGTCTCAAACGATTCCTAGACTCATGGACTACCTTCACTGAGGCTTTTGACCTCCAAGGTAATGACCTTCCAGGTCAACATCTCGGTGAAGGTATTCCGTGAATCGGGGAATCGTTTGAGACATTTACTTTGGAAATCGGTCGCTAACTTTTGCGTGCAGAGAGGTTTCCGTCGTTTGACCTTGATGTTGACCTGGAAGGTCATGACCTTTGAGGTCACGAAGTTCGGTGAAGGTAGTCCGTGAATCGGGAGATCGTTTGAGACCTTTACTTTGGAAATCGGTCGCTAACTTTAGCGTACAAAGCATTCCGTGGTTTCCGTTGTTTGACCTTGATGTTGACCTCGAAGGTCATGACCTTGGAGGTCACGAACCTCAGTGAAGGTAGTCCGTGAATCGGGGAATCGTATGAGACCTTTACTTTGGAAATCGGTCGCTAACTTTAGCGTACACAGCGTTCCGAGGAGGTTTCCGTCGTTTGACCTTGATGTTGACCTGGAAGGTCATGACCTTTGAGGTCACGAACCTCAGTGAAGGTAGTCCGTGAATCGGGATATCGTTTGAGACCTTTACTTTGGAAATCGGTCGCTAACTTTAGCGTACACAGCGTTCCGAGGAGGTTTCCGTCGTTTGACCTTGATGTTGACCTGGAAGGTCATGACCTTTGAGGTCACGAACCTCGGTGAAGGTAGTCTGTGAATCGGGGAATCGTTTGAGACATTTACTTTGGAAATCGGTCGCTAACTTTAGCGTGCAGAGCGGTTTCCGTCGTTTGACCTTGATGTTGACCTGGAAGGTCATGACCTTTGAGGTCACGAACTTAGGTGAAGGTAGTCCGTGAATCGGGAGATCGTTTGAGACCTTTACTTTGGAAATCGGTCGCTAACTTTAGCGTACAAAGCGTTCCGAGGAGGTTTCCGTTGTTTGACCTTGATGTTGACCTCGAAGGTCATGACCTTGGAGGTCACGAACCTCAGTGAAGGTAGTCCGTGAATCGGGGAATCGTTTGAGACCTTTACTTTGGAAATCGGTCGCTAACTTTAGCGTACACAGCGTTCCGAGGTTTCCGTCGTTTGACCTTTATGTTGACCTGGAAGATCATGACCTTTGAGGTCAAGAACCTCGGTGAAGGTTTTCCGTGAATCTGGGAATCGTTTGAGACCTTTACTTCGGAAATCGGTCGCTAACTTTAGCGTGCACAGCGGTTTCCGTCGTTTGACCTTGATGTTGACCTCGAAGGTCATGACCTTCGAGGTCACGAACCTTAGTGAAGGTAGTCCGTGAATCGGGGAATCGTTTGAGAACTTTACTTTGGAAATCGGTCGCTAACTTTAGCGTACATAGCGTTCCGAGGAGTTTTCCGTCGTTTAGAGCGGTTTCCGTCATTTGACCTTGATGTTGACCTCAAAGGTCATGACCTTGGAGGTCACGAACCTCAGTGAAGGTAGTCCGTGAATCAGGGAATCGTTTGAGACCTTTACTTCGGAAATCGGTCGCTAACTTAAGCGTGCAGAGCGGTTTCCGCCGTTTGACCTTGATGTTGACCTCGAAGGTCATGACCTTTGAGGTCACGAACTTTGGTGCTGGTAGTCCGTGAATCGGGGAATCGTTTGAGATCTTTACTTTGCAATCGGTCGGTAACTTTAGCGTACACAGCGTTCCGAAGAATATCTCTAGATATCTAGGGAATTTCTGAACTGTGGCCATCTGGCATCTTCGTGGGACGCCAGACTTACTAATACCGTTTTGTCTTCTTCTCCTGTGGAGGATTTGTTCTGCAATGACAGGTGATGTAGTGACTTGTCCTATGGATCAACATGTTTTTTCTATGAGTGGCAGGGCAGAAATGACAGATATCTAATACCAGGCCCAGGTGAGCTGTATGTTTACATTTAATAACGTCACAGTCAACAAATTTTGACCCATTAGGGTCAAAAATAAGCGTCAAAAATAATGACGAAATCACTTGGGTCAATTTTTGGTCAGGTCAAAGGTCAGGTCACCAGAGGTCATTGAAGGCAAAATTTCGCCGATTTCCAGGTCGAATGTCGACAATTTCCAAGATGCCAACGCATAACTCGGGAACCAATAGAGCTACAGCGCCGCGGAAAAGCGCATTCGATAGCCCTATTAACGCCCTTTCTGATTAATTCTCTCAGATTTGACCTAACGTCAACAGTTTTGCCTGCAGGGGGCAGAAGCTGCAAAAATAACCGTTTTTTCGGAAACAGTTTTTCTGCAATAACTTTTGACCCGAGCCTTGCACGAGCTTACTTTTACCGGCATCGTGTTCCTCTCGTCAAGACGCATCGAATGATCTATAACTTGACCTTTAAAGGTCAAATTGAAAATTTGACCTCAGGTCAAGGTCATGACCTGACCTGAAAGGGTCATGTTGCATACTAGTCGATCCGTATCGTCGAGCTGAACACATCTAATGCGTTTTTATCGCTCTACCATGCCTCTATCAAAAGTTATTTGCGAAAAACTGTTAGATGCCATTTGTGACCTAAGATGACCTCAGGACATAAACAGGGGTCACGGACACCATTTTCATGTTCAGTGTGTCTAAACCACTTGTAATTCAGTGTTTGGGAGTGTTTATAATGTCTTTCGTCCAAAAGAGGCGCATTTAAATTTTCTCCCATTGACTTATAATGGGGAGGTCGCAAAATTGACCTGATCTTAGGTCATCGATATCAAAATTCTGAGATATACATTTTGTACGTGCTATTGCTCTTAGCAATCGCTGAAAGTTTCAAAGCGATCGGTCACTCGGTGTATCTATGACAGACATTGAAACTTTTTATGAGGTGAGGTCACTTCAAGTAACCTGGTGACCTGACCTTGAATGACCTTGGTCTGAAATTTTCACAACATGTGTAGATTTGATATATGATAAGGTGTACCAAAAACGGCGGCGCGGAGCGCCGCCGTTTTTGAGATATTCGCGAAAAACCACAAGGGGGGTGTTCAAACACCCCCCCCCCCCCCAGCAGGGCGCGGGTTAATGCATTGATAAGTAATGAGCCATTTATTCATGCGCTGCAGCAGAAATTAGCTATCGGAACCACTGGCATTCGATAGTTGTCTGCTGTTGGCTCCATTTCTCCTGCTGAGCCGAGCTGCCTGTTTTTCAGCCTGCTTCTGCGGTTCGTTGACAACACGTTTGATCCCGATCAGAGCGCCACCATTGGAGTCGACTTCAAGGTCAAAACCATCAACGTGGATGGCAACAAAGTCAAACTGGCGATATGGGTGAGGACTGAGTGCTAGCCTGGTGGTGTACATTTGATGTTGAGGGAGTACTCGAGCACCGATCTGTGCAAGCGAACGAGGCTAGCGCTATCGAGGATGGTTATGATAGCACCCTTCCGGGTTGTCAAGCGTCGAATGATTGCTGAGGAAGAGAGAAAACGGAAGTGCTGAGTCTAGTTCTCGGTAACTGTAACTCACTGACGCTAATC